GTCATGTCACTGGTACTCTTTCCAGCTTGTAATTCAGAGCACATGTTCCATTAACATACATGCTGCTGGACCCTTCAGTGTTTTAGGTCAGTTGTACTGTCTTCTGCCTGCTGTTAATTCTTCAAATCTACGGTGTTGTTCTGTCTGTTTTCTGTCTTCATCAGGAGATTGACTGTCCTTTAAGCTTCTTCTCAGGATAAGGGCAGGATGAGAGGTGAAGCTGTAAAATTTCAGCCAAAGCCTGGCCTGTTTGTCGTTCCAATTATGTTAATCTATCATTTTGCCGCTGTACTCATCTGAGGTTGAGCCAAGTCCATGGGCACCTGTATTAACACACTAAGACATTTATTTAATATCATTTTCATTACTATTTCTTAGCACTTTCACTCTCTAATTCCTCTGTTTTCCTTTTGAAACGTCTCTCACAAGCTCACAAGCTATATTCAGACTTCCTGCTTCACTTCCTGCCAGACACACACACACACACACACACACACACTCTTCACTTTACTGGATTTTCATCCGTTTCTACAGCCTAATCAAGCTCTTATTTTATGTTCACACTCTATATACCCTCTGTAACTCTACTAATTCTAATATAAAAAGAATGCACCCTCAGTACAGAAAAACAGAAAAAGTCAGTGATGCACTAATGTAGCAAAAATAGGAAACATTAAACTGTAAATGTTTTCTTCCTTGTCTGGCAGATTAACAGTCCACAGGTTGGGTGCTTGCACTCTGATTCGTTCCCTGGAGATGAAGGAGAGAGAGCTCAGAGGACAGCAAGATGGAGGAGTGAAGGAGAAGGTGGTGCAGCTCAGTGTCCAATCAGGAGTGAGCAGTTCTTTCACCACCTTCATTGCTGTCAACAAAGACAACAGAGAGGCGATCCAAGGACCTCTGCACCGCAGACATATTCTACCACCCTGTGAGGTTTGTTTAAAGCAAACAAAGCAATACCATGAAACTGTTAACAGCAGGATGTCAGAGTCAATAGAGAGGACTTCAAAAGAGCAACTTCAAATCAAACTATTTATGTAGTAGGTGTTTCTTTGCCAATGTCTTTCCCCTGCATTAGAAAGTAATAAGCCAGATGGAAGTACAACACACATCTATGCATTTCTATAAAACTGACCTGCCCTGAACTTATAATCTCTCTCTCTCTCTCTTTGTTTTTCCTTAAAGTGATGGCTGTCCATTCGTCCTGTAAAGTTGTAAATATAAACCTGAATGAATGGGAGTAGAAACTGTGTGTGCGCATGAAGACATGCTTGTGTCGCTGAGATTGAACAGATTTATGTATGTTCACGTAGCCAAGTGATAATCATATATAATAATCACTGAATAGTAATAATGTTATTGAACAGGTTAAACATTTAGATATCACAAAAAAGTTGCAAAAAAAGCAAAAAAAAAACCCACACACAGCTGTGAAGTCAGCTGCACATGAATAACATTAGTACAATGACAACTTTAATTCAGAGTGAGTTCAGAAGATCCAAAAGTGGGACACTAAAAACAAGCTAGTGAAAGCAAAAAGTGACTTTGAAAAATTTATTTCATAGAATTAAAGCACTGATAGGAAAAAAAACTAAACATGAGAAGAATGGCAATCCTGCAGCGACCAATCAAAGAAGACTGTAATGGCTGCATTGTAAAGAAGTGAGTGAAGAAAGCTGATTTTTTTTTAGTTTTTCTGAGATATGCAGAGTTTTAACGAACAATTTGAACACTATTATTCATTTACATTATTTGTTCTCAACAGAGATGGGCAGTAATGCGTTACAAGTAACGTGTTACTGTAATCCGATTACAGGCACTTGCCCTGGTGGCCATTCTTTCAGTGGGCATTTCTCAACAACAACTACAAACACTAGTGAAGTGAATGGGCATTTAATTAAATAATGAAACATTTAATTCAATAATTAATGGCATATTTAATTCATTCATTTGTCACTCCTGGCCCTCCACACCTCACTGCCATGATTGTTTGTGTAGTTATTGGATTCTAAAACTACTAGAATAGATAGAAAACACATAAGATGCAGTCTCTGTTTTTTCTTCACCTTATTAATTTGAACTGAACTGAAATAAATCCGTTCTTTCTGTATGGTAATGACTAGGACCTGTCCCAGCTGTCTCTGGTGGATTCAGTATTGTCTCCAATGTTTCTGATAACTTCCAGTTTGGGAAGTTTCCCATGCAGGTGAGGAATGCAGTGACTGACAGACTACCCCTCCTTCATTTAGGACCCATGCCAAACACTGAGTAAAGACTTCCTTGCATTAAACCTGCATAGCTGTTTTCACATTTATAACAAATCACCTAAGTGACCGGCCAGTGATCGTATAGTGCTCTGAGTTGTTGCCTAAACAAGCCCTCTTCAAATCGGAGTTACAGCAGAGAGAATATGGCACTGAAGCAATGATGACAGCTTTAATAACCTATTTTATCTTCAATTATTCTGTATGAAATTCTCTTAAAGTAGCAACTGAATTTCAACCAACTCAGCTAGCTCTGCATATTTTATTTCCTCTGTTAAATAAAATGTGGCGGAGCCCAGCTGTAATTGTACCTTGCATTAATATGGTGTATTATTGATGGTGACACAGCACTGCTTAGCATGTCGTCCTGAATCTCAGGTGTGCCAATGACCTGTGCAGTATATGAGCACTAAAATCCTGGTGGATTTCTGGGATACGAACAGGACGGAGTCATGTGAGCTCTATCAATATTGCACCACTTACGTCTCAGACCTGTATTTATGTATTTATGCACTGAAATCGCGCTGTAATATCCAGTTAACTGTCCACATTTGTACTCTGTTTTTCCATTTATTATATTTTTTTTCATTAATTTGTCTGAAAAAAGATCCACGTAGTAACCAAAGAGAGACTAAATCAATGGTCTCTAATAGCAGCCAAATTATAAGAGCTTTCATTAGTGATGGTGAGATGAAGCCTTGTGATGAACTGAAGCTTTCCATCCAAACTGGTCGACTCATGGTTCGAAGCATTGTGACGATTCATTGCTCTACTTGCGCCATCAAGTGGACGATTAAAGTCAGACAGGCTCAATGATTATAATGATGTGATGTGTAACCTCTAAACTTACAGTTTTTTTCTGAATGCTTAAACCCTAACTGTGATTCCTGTAGCACAATCTCTAAAACTATTCAGACTTATAGCAAAACCACTCACTGAGTTTGCAAAACTAAAAGCACATAAACTGCTTTGCACTCCAGTTTGCAATTTTGTAACACACACTTTGCAAAACGGTAGGCACAATTCACTGCACAACACTCAATTACCAAATTTCCAACACACTCCTAGCAAAAGTATACACATGTATGGCTATCATTAACACTAATTGCCAACTGTCTGGCACACTTTCACATGTGAAAACTTTTTTAGATAATTAGTTCACTTTGCATCAGCCTAAGCACTATAATACAGGTAAGCTGTGTGTGCGGAGTACAATGGAGGGAGCAGAAAGAGTGAGAAGTAGAGGAGGCCGAGGAAGAGGACGTGGAGGTGAAGAAGTAGGATGAAGAGGAGACAAGGACAAGGAGGAGCAAGAGGAAGACGAGGAGGGGAGAGGAAGATGAGGAGGGGGGAGAGGAAGGGTAGGAAGAGTAAGAAATAGAATTGCTGATGACAATAGTGGACCATGTAATCAACCATGTAATCAACCGTGGAATGACCCTGAGGGTAGCTGGCCAACGGGTCCAGCCTAACTCGAGCCGCTACACTGTAGCAAGTACCATAAGGACATCTTGAAATGAGAATCGGTTAGTACAGTCACTTCGCACAAAAGATTTGTAGCACTGCCATATGCCAATGAGAAACACACCCAATACCATTGATGTAAAAATACTGAAATTGTTACTTTACAGAATTGCTAGATGACCAGATGCTGGGGCAGAGGAAGCATGTTCACTGCAGACCAAGTAACCCATATAGTCATTATGGCGATTGCAAATAATCCTATACTTGGAAATGAACACTTGTGTTTGTTTTGATGTGTTTCAAGTACACCAGTACTTGAAGTTTGGATCCTCTATGCTTATGGATCTATGACAGAAGTATGAGCTCAAACTGACATAGCCTACCTTGTGCACAGAGAAAGCAAAGCCAGATGTGTTTTGTATTCATACCATCAGTGTGCAGTTGGCGCATTGTGTGCTTAGTAGATGATGGCTTGTGTGTACTGTTTGATACGGAAACACCATTTTTACGAAGGTGTGAAGAGTTAATCTAGCTGTGTTTGCTTTTGCAAGAGAACTACAATGTTTTGATTATTGGGTGACAGGTTTTTCTTATTTGTGTGAAGAGTTTTGCAAAATTAGCCAATAGTTACAAAAAATGTGCTTAGGCATTCCAGAAAAACTGTAATAGAATATTTTTATATTTATATTTCAATATCACAGTAATTTCCAATTTAGAACTACAAGTTAAAAAAAGAACTAACATAAATAAATACACTTCAGCTAATTACTTAAAAAAAATAATTTATTTTCCCAAACCACGCAGAGCCGCACTAAAAAGGACTAAAGAGCCGCAGGTTGCTGACCCCTGCACTAACCTATTCAGCTGCTTGTGAATGCAAATATCTAATCAGCCAATCACATGCCAGAAAAAAAAAAGGGTGATTTAAGTGACTTTGAAGGCAGCATTGCTGTTGGTGACAGATGGGCTGTTTTACGTTTTTCAGACACTCCTGATCTTCTCAAATTTTTCAGGAATTTACAGAGAACAGTCCAAACTGAAAAGCGAAATAAACATTTCCCTGGGTAAAAATGCCTTGTTGATTGCAGAAGTCAGAGGGGCGTGGCCATGCTGAAGGCAAGAGGAATTCTAAGCCAGTTTCTCAACCCAGCCCATCTGATATCAGTAACCACAACACATTCAAAGTCAATTAAAAGTCGCTTTCTTGCCGTTCCGATGCTCGCTTTCAACTTTGAAATGAGACCACTTGGACAACAGTAATGATAAATAATTGCAAATAGAGCACGTTTACAGAATTTAATGTCATTTTTATAGAGCACCTCTTATTTTAAGAAAAGATGGGCGAGACGATTTTTGAAACTAACTGCAAATTAAGCACACAATATTTAATATCTGTATTTTACCATTTTGATAAGACATATTTCAGTACTCCAAAACACTTTTATTAGACTGCCAACATGCTTACAAGTAGTAAATCCAGGTTAGTGGATCATAATTAAACATAACTCTGTGGCAAACGCAGAGTTCAGCAGGCCATCAAGGAAGAAGTGACGTGCATTTCTGCAGTGTAAAGATTCACAAATGATTTTCTCCTTAATCTACAGTCACACAAAGCGCCAGGAAAATCTTTGGTGATGTTCTCAGATGATTCTGACGCTTATCACCCAGTTCCTCGTGATGTCCTCCACACCATCAACCCTCTGTCCTCCTCCCAGTTTCTTCCTCAGCTTGCCTTTCTTATGGCCACCCCTTCCAAAACCTGACTTTTTAACTTTTAACTTTTTGTTCTTGGAGCGGAGCTTCCTCATCCCCCCGCCCTGCAGGAACTGGTGCTTCTGCTTTTTCTTGCGCTGCTTCATGATCTGATCCTTTGTTTTCAGCTCCGAGCGTGCTTTGTGGTCACCGGAGCTCTGTACGTTTGGACCTCGTCGGCCACGGCCACGACCTGGGAGAGGCACGACACAACAAAGAGGTTGGAGGTTATAGCTCGCAAGGCTGGAAGAGGGACTTGAAGTATTTACCTTTAGAGTTGAGTTAAAACATGGTGGCTGATGTTCTATATTTAACATGTTTGTGCTATTCATTTTGATGCCTTCCTACCTCTTGCTGGCTTCCTGCCTCCTCCGCCTGTTTCTCCATCTGATCCAGATCCTGTATCATCAATCTTGTATTTTTTCCTTCACTCCTCATAACTGACATGTTGTCAAGTGATACAACATCTTCACAGTACAGCTTAATATTGTCATAGGAGTAGAGAAGAGGGTCATTGAGAGCAGCACACAGAGAAGCTTTTTGTTGGAAGGATACAAGTTCTTCCTGTTCTTCTTGTTACTGATAACCTGACCGCTGTCTGTTTTGATCTTCTTCTTCTGGTCTTCTTTTCCCGTTTCTCTCACAAAACGCTTCCTCTTACGGTCCCTAAAAAAGAAGGGGGAAAAAAGACTTTAAATTATAGTTTGAAATGACCATTTGGTGATACTGAGTCAAACATAGGGAAATTTGTACCATTTCATCATTTTCTTCTGCTGGTTAAGGCGATCGCCTTCATCTCCCATGAGATCAAGGACAGCTGAAGAGGCCTGCTGTTCAAAAGCACTGCCCTCTCCACCGAGACTCAACCTGTCGACGCATAACACAGGACAAAACAGCATAAAACACAAAGCCATTCACATTTTTTAAAGAAACAGATGCAACAGTTTAATGCCTCACCCTCTCTCAGAGTCAAAGTCTTTAGGTCTGTAAGGGATATAATACTCTTCATCTTTCCTGACTGCCTCTTTTTCTTGGTCTTTGGTCGCTCTTCGCCATCTTCCTGCTGACCTCTTCTTTTACCACCTACCACCTCTGAAAACACCCCCTGGTGGAAATAGAAAGAATTACATGGTACAAAGTGACAAAGCATGATACAGAGATCCTACTATCTTCCTCTTCTAGTTTGTATACAACATCATCTACATCAAACTGCACTTTATTTTGCTTCTTCTTCATCAGACAGCACAAACAACTTTCTCATTTTGACTCAAATATTGGTTTTGAATGAAAATGATGAAACAATCCTGGGTGTTTATTCAACTTGTGAGCAGGTTTTCTAATCCACCGTACTATTATTATTGACACTAGTACATGTTCGTGCTGCTGGCAAACTAATACACTCAAGAACATATAGCAAAGCAAAAAAGTGAAAAGTAGGTCTTGCCTACATAAATAAACATAAGACAGTTGTGAAACTTTGACATAGTAACATCTGCAGTAATATTTACACCTGTGATGACATCTCACCAGCATTAGCCTTATTTTGAAACCAAGATTGTTTACACAGAGTTTGTAATTGCAGAGAAATGCTCCATTTATTTTGGTCATTTCATTTTTGAGCAGGAAGCTCACCTTTCTTGTTATAGCCTTTAGACGAATAGAGAGTTTTCCAATTAAATACATATTCTTTAAATAATGTTCCCTCTTATAAAAAGTAGGATAATTTAAAAAAAATTTAAAAAATGTATTATACCTCTATTACTTAGAAAAAAAACTGTTTTTTTTCTGTTGTCTGTTATATAACGTTAGTGATGCTCGTTTCAATTCATTTCTTAATCAGCTAAACAGGTCAGTTAAGAAACAGTCAAATATTAAGTTAAATTTGAAAACGGTTTAAAAAAAAATATCCCCATTCCAAAATGTCACATGACAATCTCATTGGCTCACGGAGTTATGATGTCACTACACGATCCTTTGAAGTTTTTCCTTAAACAGGGGTGACACACAGCAGTTTTTTAGTTCGTGTCTTCGCAGCATTTGTGTTTGCAGCCTTCACACGTTCACCACAGAAACTTTTGGAAACCTTTTCAGAGTTGTCGTGTACAACCTTCAACATGTATCCAACAAGACACCAACCAAGGCAAAAAGATTACGCCGCTTCTCCTTCCTGTCGTGGCCGGCCAATTTCCCCAAATGACCTCTTAGCCGTCCAAAGGGCATTACATGACAGTAAGAAGGAAAACTACCATCTCCAGAATAAAATTCAACAGATTGAAGAAGAGAAACTTCAACTGGAGGAGAAGTGTAGACAGATGGAAGCGCAAAATAAGAACCTGGAAGAAAGACAAAAACGCCAGCCCGACATAAATATTATTAATGAGGGTTGGGGAATCAAGTTTGGACAAGCCCGAGAGCAGGTTGTCTTCCTAATTAAGGAAAACAAGCAAAAGAGCGTGGAACTAAAGGAGATGTCCAACCAGCTTAAAGACAGCAAAGCTACTGTTGAGAAGACAGAATGGGATCTCCAATATATGGACCAAATGAATCGGCTGCTCCAAACAAACTTCGATGAAGCTGTGAAAAAAAATGAAGAAATCCTCCAACAGAAGGAAGAACAGGAGAAAAAGCAAAGAGACATGGAGCACAAACTCAAAGTCACGGAGGAAAAATACAGAATGCTGAAAGAGAAGGTGGATGATACTCTGCGCCAAAATAAAGACCTTCTTCACGAGAAAAAGCAACTAGAAGGGGAAAAAGAAAAACTGGACAAACAATGCTCGCACATGCAGAAAAGGATGGAGCAAATGGCGAGAAACAACTCCGAGCTCACTAAGGGGATATTGTTGGAATACAACAACTTGAAGCGCAAACACACTGAAATGCAGGCGCAAAAGCAAGAACAAGACAACATACATGACGACCTGCAGCGTACGCTCCAAGATATCCACAAAAGAAATGAGGAGCTACAAGACATGTACAAAGAAGTACAACAAAGAAACGCAGACATGCACAAGGACAAGATAATGCAGGAGGAAACATCCAAAGAGCTCAGGGAAAAGCTTGAAGAAAAACAAGCAACGTTGGAAGAGGTGGAGAAAACGTGCAAGAAGCTTGAGAAACAAAACAAAGAAACCATCGATGAGTTGAGAACCCTCATCCTGGAAAAAAAAGCTCTTGTAGAAAACTGCATGAAAAAGAAGAACAAACGCTTCCGCTGGCCCTGGAGGAGGAACTCTACTGCTTCCTCAGCAGGTGTAGCCTCGTCTTGCTCCACCTCTGTTCACCTCCCCAACCAGTCCCGGCAGTTGACTGTCCCCTCCTGAGCCTGGTTCTGCCGGAGGTTTCTGCCCGTTTAAAGGCAGTTTTTCCTCCCCACTGTCGCCTAGTGCGTGCTCAGAGGGGATTGTTGGGGTTTTCTCTCCTCTACCTTGTTTCATTATTTACTTAACGTTTTGTTCTTACTTCATTTTACCTTGTTTCATTATTTACTTAACTTTTTGTTCTTACTTCATTTTACCTTGTTTCATTATTTACTTGTTAACGTTTTGTTCTTACTTCATTTTACCTTGTTTCATTATTTACTTGTTGACGTTTTGTTCTTACTTCATTTTACCTTGTTTCATTATTTACTTGTTGACGTTTTGTTCTTACTTCATTTTACCTTGTTTCATTATTTACTTGTTGACGTTTTGTTCTTACTTCATTTTACCTTGTTTCATTATTTACTTGTTTAACTTTTTCTTTTTCAACTTATTCATAAAAAAATAAACCAATTGAATTTATCCTTTGAGTATTTTTCATCTTTTCATCTATAACTTTTTCAAACATTCATATCTGTCGTTTATCTTCTTCTTGAAACCTCATAAATGCTGAAGGAAAAATCCTGGAACATGGTTTGAAACACTGAAATTGTTTCAGCTGAAACCGGCAAAGTCATACGTGTGTGTGTGTGTGTGTGTGTGTGTGTGTGTGTGTGTGTGTGTGTGTGTGTGTGTGTGTGTGTGTTACTCTGTACATGAAACAACTTTGTAGAAAACCATTTTCCTGTCGAAACATTAGCAAACACAAACAAAGTGTTATTAACAAACGAATTACTAATATCCCTCTCTATGATAGTGATTTATTTTTTTACGGGATTAAAACTGTAAATTTTACCAAACTAAAGAAAGTAATACAAAGTAATAAAACTTTTTATCATTTAGTTAAGATCCAACATCCATTCTTTTCATAGTTGGTTGCTACCACCAGAGGGCGACATGGAGTACTTTTACCCATGTAGAGAAACATAAACGCTCATATATTACACACGCACCAACATTTTACTGTCTATTACTACATCAGTCTGTTTACATTAAACTGATATTGATAAATAAACTCACAAATATAGCTTCATGAATTTGGTAACGTCCTGTAAGTCATATCGTCAAATGCTTTTGTTCCAAAATAAAAAGGCTGTTGAAATAATGATTGGTGTGGTTTTTACAGGTGAATGAGCAGCAGAATAACTACAGAGAATCTGTGAATACATGAATGACCTTTTGTAATATGCCTTTAGCCTATTAGTGCCCTGAAAGAGTGGAGATTTTACCTATTTTAGCAAAATGATCTACAAACTGTATGGGTGAATATAGGAGCTTGTTAACAGGTTAGCATGTCCAACTAACAGACAGGAAAATGAGCTATGTATTTTTTAGATATCATGTTATCAGCTGACCACTGAAAGCTCTTTCTGCATATATCTTCTACACGTTCTGTCTCTTGTCACGTGTGTGTTTATATTTAAATCATGTATGTTGATTATTTAAATATGCTTTTTCATTCATTTTTAAAAAATGTCAACAGCTGTCGTTTACAGATTCATTGTTTACTATATGCTATATATATATATATATATATGAACATGAACAAAACTGAAAACACTGGGTCACCGACCCAGGAACCCTGACAATATGTATTTTACCTGGTTAATGTGTGTGGCGGGGCGTGGTCTGCAGCGCCGCTGCAGGGGAGGCGGACGCACCTGAGCGGCACCCGCGATCACGCCTCGGCGCCTTAACGTCTGTGCTCTCTATGCTGTTGTGTTGGTATGTGTCGGGCTGTGAGCTTTAACACCGGCTGTATGCATACAGCAACCGTGTGTGAAAAGTGGTCAATAAAGAGAAGCTGTAAAGCGTGTTCATGGAAACATCGTTGGGTCTGCCGTGATATGTTTACAATGGGACTTCTGCTCCTGAATCTCTGCGCACAGCGTCTGCAAATCGGAGCTGTATGAAGTCACTTTCATCTTTATGCAGGACTGTAAGCTGTCATCTGTGAGGCGTGAGCGGTGTTTGTTTTTAACATAGTTCACGGTGGAGCTGCTGACATAATGTGGATCCGAAGATTGATAATTAGCCTACCTGGGGTTGAAAGTCTCGATAAATGCACGGCGTTTCGGCGGGTATATCGGCTTCCGCAAGTGTGACGCTTATTTTGAGCGTTCAAAAACTAATAGAATATAATTTTATATTTATATTTCATTTCAATATCACAGTAATCTTCCAATTTAGAACTACAAGTTAAAAAAGAACTAACATAAATAAAATACACTTCAGCTAATTACTTAAAAAAATAATTTATTTTCCCAAACCACGCAGAGCCGCACTAAAAGGACTAAAGAGCCGCAGGTTGCTGACCCCTGCACTAACCTATTCAGCTGCTTGTGAATGCAAATATCTAATCAGCCAATCACATGCCAGAAAAAAAAGGGTGATTTAAGTGACTTTGAAGGCAGCATTGCTGTTGGTGACAGATGGGCTGTTTTACGTTTTTCAGACACTCCTGATCTTCTCAAATTTTTTCAGGAATTTACAGAGAACAGTCCAAACTGAAAAGCGAAATAAACATTTCCCTGGGTAAAAATGCCTTGTTGATTGCAGAAGTCAGAGGGGCGTGGCCATGCTGAAGGCAAGAGGAATTCTAAGCCAGTTTCTCAACCCAGCCCATCTGATATCAGTAACCACAACACATTCAA